AAGAAGAGATCAAATATTATACTTCAAAAGGGTTAAATATATGAATGTAGCTTTCCTTACTTGAAGACAAATATCTGGATATTTTTTTTTTGCCACAAGATTCATCATCTACAATACAATCCTTTAAGAAACAGGATAAAGTTATTAATAAAGCTTCTATTCTTTTAGAAATGCTTCTTAATAACAAAGCACAAGACCCAAATTGGGTTGTTTATTTTCAATTAAAACCTATTTCTAACTCCTTGGAATTACTTTTCTAGATGGAACCTAGTCAAGTTGAAACATGAATTCACTATCATGATATTATTATGAATAACAATATATATAGTATAAATCATTTCAATATGGCACTCAGTCTTTTTGTTGGTATAAATAATTATAACAGAAGCCACCTTGTTGCTTAAGCATTGATGAATAATAAAACAACTATTAGTTTTAAATGGGTTCTTACTAAAATTTTAGAGTTAACCAGCTATCAATCATATGTTCTCATAACTGATTCTGATTCTGCAAATGAAGCAGCCATTGAAAAAATAATGTCTAAAACTTACCAAATAAACTGTATATATCACATCACCCAAAATCTTTCGAAAAACTTAAAAAATAAACTTGGATCAGATTGGGATAAGTTTATAAAAGACTAGTACAAGATGCATAATAGTTTGTCAAAAGAAGACTTTGAATTTGAATAGAAGCAGCTTATAAGTAAATATCTAACAGCACAATCTTACCTTAAATGAATACTCTATAATATCAAGAATGTTGGGCATTGGCCTGAATTTCAAATATATTTACTGCTAGAGCTCAATTTATACAAAGAGTAGAAAGCATGAATGCAATTATCAAATCTTATATAACAAGCAAAGCTACTTTATCCAAACTTGCTAGTATTTTAGACTCTCATCTTGCTTGAGAATTAATATATATTCATTATAATAATTGGTCTATAACTCATGTTAAACCTACACATACTGTATAGTCGCATTGGCTTAGTTATTGCCTGAAATTGACAAATAGCTTGCTAAATTTTTAACACCATCTGTTTTGTCTTTACAAAGAGTTGAAATAGCGGAAGCTCTTTGATACAATGCAATATTAGTTTCTAAAGAAAATATTAATCTTAGTCTATTACAAGAGAAAAGTGAGATTAACTTTTATAAGGATCTTGATAACTTTCTAGCAACAAATATCAATGTAATTACTGCAAATTTTTCTACTTTATCTATTCATGAAATTTGGAAGACTACTTATTACAGAGCATCTTACAAAAACTATATTATTATATTCAAAAATAGCAATCATATTTGTACTTGTTTGCAACTTATTAATCAGAGTCTTATTTGCTATCACTTTGCAAAAGTTATGACAATCTCTCAGTCTGCAGTTTTTCATATTCTTGTGATTGCACAATGTTGGTATTTGGATAAATATTATTCAAAATCAGATGAGTCATTAAGATCACAACCATCAATTACTTACAATAATAGGAGCATTATCAAACTTCAGATTTAATACCAAATTCAACTATTATGTACTCAGATTCTGATATTTCTTTTAACATATTAGAGACACTTAATAATCATCATGCATATGGAACTACAAACGGTCTCTGTAAGAAAGCTATCCCTTAATTAGTAAAGATTTGCAGACAAATTTGGCTGCATAATTACTATAAATATGCCTCTGATCTACTTTTTTAATTA